GTCGTCGTGGTGGTGGTGGTGTTGTTAGTAGCAGCAACGTTACTAAAAATGATAGCAGTGTAATGTTAAGTGGAAGTGGTGCTTGTGCCAGCGACACTCACAACTCGCACTGCCGCGCAAAATATCTTTGACGCCTTCAGCATTAGATAAACACCTTCAAAGGAACATATCTCTGTATGCCAGGTGCCTGCATTACCTGCAGCTCAGCCGCTTTCACAACCGATGCCCCAAGCAATGACAGAAACGTCTTCCGGCAGGCCCATCGGCAGCAGCCTTGCGAGCTCAGCTTAACCTCATGAACCTTCACCCAGCGCCGACAATCCTACATATCGCTTCCACGTGAGGAGCATGAAAGGATCACGAACGCGAGGAAATCCATTCCGAACCCAAGTAGCATCTCTGGTCTGAAGACACCACTGTTGCCCACCTCGCACGTCGGTTGAAGCAAGCGTGCACCTCGTCAGTGCCTGCATGCATCCTGCACGCATCGCACCTCAATCCACTTCTTGAGAATCGGGTGGAAACCTTGGCAGAGTCCAGGCATGCATGTGTTCGCATCATGGTGTGCCATCGACACCATCAGCGTGATTGCCACGTCAACCCTGAAGGGCTCCATGCAGCGGCTGATGCCCACAGCGTTGCGACCGACCAAGCCCCGCACCGAAAATCTCCATGGAGGGCTCGGTATAGGGGTTGTACGCTGGCTTGAAACCTGAAGCTCCAGAGGGCGAGCTCCCCTTTTCGGACTCTTCGCTCGCTTGGTTCCGGGCGCAGCTTCGAGATGCCAATGCGGCTGAAGAAGTCACGTAAGGTTCCAATGAGCTGCGGCAGGCCAATGTTACCTGAAAAGCGAGGTTAACGCAGAGCAGTGAAACATTGTGACAAAGGCAAGGGGTAAGAATGACATGGATGCAATGATTTTCCTTTCGACGAGCCCTTCCCGTGGCTTCACGGGGCAAGTCTAGCCACCACGAATTCCGAGGCAACGTCAGCTGGTGCTGTGGCGTCAGACAGGCTAGATGTCACACAACAGTATGGGACGGTCAAGACCCTGACACTATAAGTTTGGCCACTCTCAGCGGCGCCACCTTCATAGCTGCACTCACAGGCAACTTCGGGATCATGTGCACCGAATACAGTTGCCGGCTGCAGTTGCTGCTCTTCAAATTTCAGGCACGAAGGCCACGTTGGTGCTAAGATGCAGTAAGGCTAGCTCATCAAGCCTGCCACTAAGTAGCAAGCTGCTTGGATTAGCATGTGACTACGCTCGACTCGTGACCTGCCATCACAAATCGACACCCCTTCTGGAACCAAAAGCGGCCACTGAACACACACCCACATAAGTCACATATACAGCGAGAGAGAGGAAGAGAAAGACTGGTCAGCGCTAGATAAACAGATTGGCACACAGATGGAGAGCTGAATGAAATCATGCTGATGAACATAGATGAACATAGTCTTTTCGTCTTGAGCCAACATAGCTGCCTGCCGTGCTCATCCATTCCGCGCAAGAAGCACAGTAGACAATACCAATGACCAACGTAACAGGTATCACCGTGCAATAAGTGCACGGCGGTCCGCTACGAAGCCCTCGATTTGATGAAACTCGGCCAAGTGTGTGGCCTCAAACTTTCGCAGTGTTAGCTATCCCGCGAGGAATCTCGACAGGTGGCCAAGCCATCAACAGATGCGCACTGAGACTCGCACATCGAGTGTCTCATTTCTGAAGACTCGATCAATGGAAAAATATTTCTTGGGCCGGAAAACGCCTGTTTTCCGATATTCCTGCCATTCAGTTCCAGGTTGCACGCAATGTTTGGGCGCATGCTCCAACCAATATGCCGCCATCATATGTCTTCCGACTGCAAGGAGGCCTCACCCAACTTGTAAAGCGTCCTGGCCTAAGCAACCAGGCTCACTAAGAGCTTGGAAAGCGTGCAAGCACAGAAGCTCGGCACCAGACTGACACGGCCGTCGTATGTGTTCTGAGGAGAGTCTTTTTCGCTTCATCCTACGGAATACAAGCGCGGCCAGGAAGCTTTTTGCTGTCAGACCACGTATGAATGCACACGTACAAGTACATGCATATCTACGTGTCTGCGACTGCATGTGTGTATGCATATACGTTGTATTGTAATATCATTCTACATCTATACATGTCAAGTTCGGTTGAAGTAGATAGACGGATGACAGACAGATACACAGGCAGCCAAACAGGCAGACAGATCCAGAGACAGTAAAAATGGTAGATAACGAAGCGGACTGACAGATAGACAGGTAGATAAGCAAATATGCAAGTAGGCAAATGGGTAGATAGGTAGATAAATATGTAGACAAACAGGCAACTAAACAGATAAGCAGATTACTACATAGCCAGATAAAACAAGAAGTAGAGAGCTAAGCAATAAATGAATAGATAAACAGGTAAGCAAGGAAAAGAGCGAGTAGTCATGTGAATAAAAAACGAAGGTGATAAACAGTGAAAAGGATTGAACAAAATACATACATGTCGCTGTATTTTAAGATACATATCAAATACTGTATGATATACATTGGAAGCTGCAGACTATATGATATATTTTGCATATCATGTAATATGTCTTGTGTATCATACACACCGCATATCGCATAGTGTATAACACTAGAACGAAGAACACTAAGCAATAGTGTGTATGTACAAATGAAATACGTGCATATTAACCACTACGTTATACATTCTTTGCATGCTATAACCTCTGTATATACACATGTATATATATA